CATCATGGCTCTCTTTTCAGTACAGCAGCATAGTGGCTTTTACTTTTAAAAATCACAAAATATCAACTAAGAAACTAAGTCTTCCAAAAGGTTGCACATACAGAGTACATTTATTTTCCTTTAATGTCCATATATATGTATCAAACATAGGAGCTCACAGAGTACACATATATACATGTATAACCACTAATTTGTGGGAACCTGCTTTTGTTCCTGATTTTTTGAAGGTGCTCCAGCCTTTCTTAAAATCAAACATTTTACCAACTGATTAATGGAAAACAAGGGATGTTACCTTTCGAAACAAAAAGTCACCACACAACCCAAGTTAACAAAATTATGAAGCCTTTGCTTATCAGAGGATTGTTAAATAAGAAACTAGAGATCAGGATATTAATGTAATGTATGGAGAGAGTGAATACAGTCTCCTGGAAGATGTTTCTGCCTGAGATGAGCTAGAAGACACATCCTCAGATTAAACTTTCATCAGCAGATCTCTGTATTTCATCAATCTTTCATTATGGCATAGCTTAGAAAATCATCTGGTCAGGTGTCATTAGAAAACCTCTTCATCTTCCAAAGCAAAAACTACCCAAATAAATTAGTACAAGCAAAAGAGAGTTAAAAGGAGGGCCTGGAAATACACATTTCTACAATATTTTAAAATTGAAACACTACCTTTCACAACAAATCCAATATGTTTTTTATACAGGTTCCTGGACTAGAAGATATAGCTAATTAACAAAAGTCAAGTGCAACAACTTCTGGAAGACCTTCATCCCAGAAACTGGGATGTCACTAACTTTGTGGATGCTTAATCCACCAAAGCAGCAATGTGATCCCCTCACTTTTTTTCTGATGATGGCAAACTCATAATCAGGGAAAGTTGCTTTTGCAGTCAGTGAATGGCTGTGGTATTTCTCACCTCAGTAGCAACAGGTGATTTTACCAGGATGAGCCCAAGGACTGTTTGCTAATATATACATGAAAAGAGATGCAGTGCAATTTCCAGCTCAACAATATGTTTTTCTCAGCTCGTGTTCTCCTGTCACCAAACGCTTTTTTCTTGCATTAGTGCTTTTTCAGCAAGCGCTACATCGTTTATGCTACCTTTCAAAACATGTTTCCTAGACTAAACATCTCTATGCCCAAAACACATTGTACATCTGATTATTCAGTCATAAGTTTGTTCTTTCTGCTTGTCCTTTGGATCTTCTGCTATTTAACATCATCTGCAGTCTGAGTTTACTTACAAATAATGGCTACAATGCTTTTCCTGCAGTCTTATTTTTTAAAATGTGTCAATAAAATATTGAACAAATTACATTTCAAAAAGGGTGGGCTCCAGTCCTGAAAGTCATTCTGGACACAATATTTCTGTAGAAGCACCTATCAAGATGATTACAAAGGGCTAAGAATAGGAAAGCTCTGAAATCAATCTTATGAAAAAAAAAATAGATTCCAACAAAAGTGGCTAAGAACATTATTGTGCCAGCAAATGAAATATTAAGGCTAGTTTTGATTGCGTGTTTAATACATAAACACAATATATAATAAACTTCAATAAACTATTTCTTGTTGTTACTTACAGTAATCAATCTAGAAAAATCATATTCTCTTGAAACAAGAAATGTTTGAACACAGAAAGGCCCACTCCCAATACTGACAGTAGAAACATGAAAAAAGGTTAGTTTATTTGCTCTTCCAGGTTCTCTGTGTTGTCAGTGTCGCAAAACCAACATCTTTTCAGGAAAACAGTTGAGAAAGCTTCTACTTTTTATGACCAAAAGGTAGAACTAGATTTGTTTGAGGGGTTGTTGTTGCTTGTATTTTTTAAATTGGATCTGTACTTCTCCCACATATGCCATAACTGAGTATTTTTTTTTCTTAATAGAGATATGAGTTTTTGCAGAAGTCTCAGCAGAACTGGAATTCATCTTTGGCCCCCAGATACGGCATGTAAATGGGCAGGAGTGGGATCAGAGATGCTATTTCCTGTGCCCAGTACATAGTTTTTGGTAAATGCTGTGGGATATCATGACAGATCTGTAGGTCAGAGCAGACAAAATGAGGTCCACACGTGATCTTTCCCAACAACTCCTGCCCTACTGATAGGGCTTATATTCATCTAGAAGAGTCTGCTATTGCCTCCCAACTCCAGATACATTTACCAAAAGCTAACAACATTATTGGTGTCACTTGGTAGCAAAAGGCATATTTCTCTTAAATGTTCCCTTAAAACATTTATGATTCTATGACCAGTTCTGTTCTTAGGAGAGGTAGGTACCCAGTCTGAGGAAATATGACCCATTATCTTATTTTATAAACAACATAATGGAATTATTTTATTTTTCAAAGAAATGTAAGTATTTGGAAAAAGAACTGTAAATGCTTAAAAAAAAAATGAATGAAAATTAAAGCTGCTTCCTTTAGTCTGTAAAGCTGCATCAGATTTAGGTGCCCCTTAAGATGCTCTATTTATTTTTTGACCGAACTAGCAAGCCACTACAAAATCTGACTTGAAGGGAAATGTGCAATGCAACCATTTTCTAATGCAAACAAAGCACTCTAATGGTTTATTCATAAGTTAAAACCTTTCTACTTTGCAGCATTTCAAACTGGATTTCTCCCTTTTAGATCTCTCAAAAATCTGGATCAGTTAAAAACCAGTTATAACCTGCCCCCTCCAACCATCAGTCATTTATAAAAATAAAAAAATTAGAAAGAGTCACCCTTCCTCTTGGAAATTTAGCCATTGATAATCAGAAACTTTGAGGAGGATTATAGAAGCTTCAGAAAATCTTTTACTGGGAAAGATTTCTGAGGTTTGAAATGACATTTCCCATCCGAAGTCGGAGACAAAAAAACCCCGCCTGCTACTGCAAATATCTTGATAATCACAGAATCATAAAATGCCCTCTGGGTTTGAAGGAACCTCAAAGATCACCATGTTCTAACCTCCCCTGCCTTGGACAGGGATACCTTCAACTAGATCAGGTTGCTCAGAGCTCCATCCAACCTGGCCTTAAACACTTCCTGGGATGGGGCATCCATAACTTCTCTGGGCAACCTGTTCCAGCACCTCACTACTCTCACAGTAAAGAATTTCTTCCTAAGATCTGATCTAAACCTACTCTCCTTCAGTTTGACACCATTCCCCCATGTCCTGTCACTACATGCTCTTGTAAATAATCTTGCCCCATCTTTCCTCTAAGCTCTCTTCAGGTACTGGAAGGTCGCAGTTAGGTCACCCCTAAGCCTTCTCTTCTCCAGGCTGAACAATCCCAATTATCTCAGCCTTTCCTCATAGGAGAGGTGCTCCATCCCTCTAATCAACTTGAACTCACTCCAACAGGCTGATGTTCCTCCTGTGCTGGGGAGCCAGAGCTGGATGCAGCACTCCAGGTGGGGTCTCAGCAGAGCAGAGTACATTGGCAGAATCACCTCCCTCGCCCTGCTGGCCACGCTGCTTTTGATTGCAGCCTAGGATACAACTGGCTTTCAGGGCTGCAAGTGCACATTGCCGGGTCACATCCAGCCTCTCATCCACCAGCATTCCCAAGTCCTCCTTGGCAGGGCTGATCTTGATCTGTTCATCCCCCAACCTGTATATACTGCGGGTTGCCCTGACCCAGGTGCAGCACCTTGCACTTGGTCTTGTTAAAACTCATGAGATTCCCATGGGCCCACTTCTCGAGCTTGTCCAGGTCTCTCTGGATGGCATCCTGTCCTTCAGGTGTGTCAACAGCACCACTCAGCTTGGGGTCACCTGCAAATTCGCTTAAGGTGCACTCGATCACTTCATCTATGTCATTAATGAAGACATTAAATAATACTGATCCCAACAGGGACCTCTGAGAGACACCACTTGTCACTGATGTCCATCAGGACTCTGTGCTGTTGACCACTACCCTCTGGGTGTGACTGTCCAGCCAATTTGTTATCCATCTAACAGTCCACTCATCAAATCCATCTCTCTGCAATTTAGAGGGAAGGATGTTGTGGGGGACCATGTCAAAGGCTTTACAGAATTCCAGATAAATGACACCTGTAACACTTCCTTAGTCCACTGATACAGTCACTCCATCATAGAAGACCACTAGGCCCTAATCAAACATGGACATAAACAGCAGCAGCTTGTTAAGTGTTACTCAATCCCTACTACCCATGTGTCAGGATGGGTAGTGTCCTAAGATCCTGGACTTATTCCATGTGAATGGCAATGTTTTTGCTAGGTCAAAATTCCAAGTGGGACAGGGAGACAGCTCGCTCTCCTGCTCCAAGTCAGTCACTTTCACAACCCTGTTCCCACAGCGATGTTACCTGACAAAGAAGGATGTTACCAAAAGAACACCTGTCAGGAAGGAAAACTAAGGAAAGACTGCCTCCAGGGCAGGAAGGCCTTTAGCACATACTCCTGGTTGTTCCCTACAGAAAGGAAAAACTTCAGCTCCCAGGCAAGCCACATTTCATGGACAAATCTTAGTATTCTGCAAGACCCCTGGGAATTTTCTTCCATCAAGAGCTAGAAGTAATGGTAATGGCTTAAAACCATTATTTTTTCCTCAATCCAACTTTTTTCTCCATCAAATCAAATATCTCAAGAAAGTGGCAACACATGCATACAATCAGAGCATAGGTGGCACATTTAACTTGGACAAGCAGGAAGAACTGCTTTCATATAGCCAGGAGAAACATACTATAGGACATATTTTAAAACATGGTTTTATACTGAAAAGTATTACATGTATCTGAAACAAAACGATGTTGTGTATGCAGTTTTATGCACCTGGCTAAATTAATCTGAAAGGTTTGTTGAATATGGGTTTAGCAAAGCAGCATATAAGTGATACACTATGAAAAGCAGAGTTTAAAAAGTAACACTAGCAAGAAAATAAGAATTTACCCACCTTCCCATAGCCCCAGAACACACTTATATGTACTCTGTATCAGTAGACCAAAATAGCACCAAGTCACGAGGGATAAGGAGAGTGAAGACTTACCGACCATTGTCACGGCCCACACCCCAGACTCTGATGCTCACAATGGGCTGCGAGTGCAGAACTGTGCGGTCCATGGGATCAATCAGGTTCAGCATGTCATTTTCCAGTATAAGGTACATGTCTTTGCCCTGCAACTCCAGACAAAGTACAGTTACACAGTACATCCCCCTCTCAAACCGACTGGGCTCAAGGTGCTATGCCTGTGCTGTTCAGACTTGCTTCCTCTTAGTTTACTCAAAGTTTTGGTTTGTTCCAAGAGCAACTGAAAACTAGTTCATATACTTCCAGTGTGAAAAAGATGTAAGACACTTTCTTTCTACTACATGTTTAAACAATGCCAATCACAAAAGGCTTTGATGTATTTTAAATGCAACTCATTCAAGCCCAAGCTATTGAGTTCTTCAACAGATTCTGTGTTCATCTTTTCTTCAGTAAATTCTTCCAAATACATGAGAGGTCACGGTCTGTCTCAACAGCAAAAGCTTATATCAAAACCTGTACCCATGAGGCAGAGTTCCTTCTTTCAAAGTGTTTTGTTTCCATAAACTTTACCAATGGATTATGGGAAGAGACAGCAATTTGTATGTGTCAAAGGATTTACAAAATACTCTTTGAAGAATGATTAAAGGGGAAAACCTAGCATTAAGACCAGACTGTGAATTCTGCTAGTGATTGCAGAATCCTGGAGCCAGGATTTCTCCCTAACTCTTTGGCATGTAAGAACAAGGATAATGCTTTTTCCCCTTACAGAAAACAAATTTAGAGACAATTTTCCTTTTGATGCTAATTCACAAATGCTAATCTTCCCCCTATTGCTAGCATTTGTAATAGGTCTGCTGCCTGTCCTATCACATGTAATACACCTCTTCTTGGAGGCCGTTCACATACTCTGCAGACCATGAGATCCCACAGAAGTGATCCCGGACCTATTGTCGAGAGTTAAGACAAGCTCCTGCCAATCAGAAGAAGAAGGTGGAACCTGTGAGCTAAACATAGAGTAATTTGTTTCCTCTCTATTGTACCAGAATCTATAAATGAACAGAAAGAATGGAAAGGATCTGACTCTCTACTGACAAATGTTTCAAAACCAATCTTTTCCTTCACCTCAGCGACACAGAAACCCTCTTCTCGCTTGGTTACAGTGGCTCAAGTCTCAATGATGTTTAATTTTGTGTCTGGCTAAGAAATAAATTCATGTCACTCTGGGAGCCTTCTGCCACAGTTTGTAGGCTAGGCAGCATGGGGCAGGCACTGCCCACCTCCTTCCCAACCCCAGATCTCCTAACAGTGAATCAAAGAGGAGCTGTGACACAGAGCTGGCAGTGCAAGTGCCAAGAGGGATGTGGGAGAGATAGGGGACACCTGGTATATGTGATGCCAACACAAGAATATATTGCCTGATGGGAAAAAGTACAGCTGTGGTAGAGATGCAAGGCTGTATATATAGGCTGCTCCTAGAGAAGCAGAAACAGATGTAGCTGTGATAGTCATGCACAAAAATGGGGCAAATCAGCAGCACTGAGCTGCTAGCGACATAGAGAAAAAGAAACATGGGAAATAAAACACAAAAGCCAGGATGACACCAGACAGACCAGGATGATGAAGGAAACCAAAGAGAAAACAGAGTCATCACAAAGAAAAAGTGGGAAAAATTTGCTTGGAGGTCAAAAGCAGTAAATAAATTGTGTGAAGAATGCTGCCAAGTGTCACAAAGATTGCTTTTTGGATCCATTTTCTACTTAAATATTTGTTCCAAAAGGAAATTATTACAAGAATGTAAAATTTGTTCATCATGCAAAATATACTGGGATTAGAGTAATGAAACTGAAACCAAATTAGCTGGAAAAAAATTGGAGAATGGGCAGATAAGCAACATAAGTTACAGGAAATTATCCTTGTAATGCTCAAGGGACAGCTTGTCCACAACCAGAAACAATATATTTTGCTAATTTTTGTAGCCTTATTATACAAAAGCTATTTTAGAGATGGAAACACTGCATAGGGCAAAAAGACATTATTTAGACAGACTGGGAGCTTGAGCATAGGCTTTAATGTCTCAGACTGCTGAAGAGCTGCTGAGATCTCACGGTTTGAGATGAGGAAAGGGAAGAGCCATGCAGAGAAAGTAAACAGAGGGAAGAGAGGGTCAATGCCAGCACATGACCCAGAAGTGTTACAGGCTGAGGTATACAGGTCAATGGCAAGAACGCATCTTTTTCATGTAAGTGATATTGTAGTGTACAGAAATATAATGCATGACAGAAGAGCAACACAAACAGATGAGAAGCGTTTTTCTTTTTAGATTTTACAGGACAGCAGACGTTCAAAAGTTACAGGGAATTTCTTTTGGAGCAAAGGGCATGAAATCCCATGTTAAAGCCAGTAACAAAGCTTCTGCAGGGTCAGGATTTTAACCAGGGTATAGGAGTTTTTGTGTTTTGTTTTGTGTTTTTTTTTAAATCATGAAAACTTGGTGATGGTCCTAGCCCCAATTTCACTTTCATTATATTCTAGCTAAAGTAAATCTTTAGGCAATCTTAAAACCCCTATCTGCAGTCATCAGTTCTAGTCTCCTAATAGATTTCTGCTATAATTGTTCCATCTGATGGAGCTGTCAGTGACACAGCACTATTTTTTTCAGATTCCTCTCTAAAACACACCTCTTCCAACCACTCTTGAACCTTTACATAGCAAGCAGAAAAATGTGGTTGGTTATAATGAATTCTTTTAAAATCAAGAATACAATTTATTTCAGGAGCCACCTATTAAAGCACATTGTCTCTATTGTTTTGTCAGGCTGATTTTTTTTTTTTTTAACAAATAGCAGTCTTAATTGAAATATCCATTCAAGAGGACCAAAACTTTTCAACAGTTTGGCTTAAAAACCCACAAGGGTTTCCAACAAAGAACAATGGAATAGACAGAGAGAAATATGGGAAAATGTGAACATTAACTCTTAAAACAAAGCACATGCAATCAAAGTAAACAATATATTTCAAGCTGACGAGAGTTCTGTCATCTGAAATACGGGTGAGATTACACACACGTAAAGACACTGGGGTTTTCCTCCTCCTGGGATCAGCAGTAAGTCCAAAGTCCATGACTGACACACCTCTAATTGCCTGTCTAGCTAAATTATCTAAATAAAACTGATCCCAGATGTAAGGAAAAAGGGAAACCTATGTTATTTTGTTTATTTATATATACAATATTTATTTCTTACATAGAAAAATCCTTCTGAAATTATTTGAAATAGATGGAACACTATAAATGAGCTCCTTTAAACATAATTTTAATTTTCAAAGAGGCACTTGCTCTCTGTAGCACCTTGGCACTGCTGTGGTCATAGCCAGGATACCGGACTTGAGCCTTAGACTGCAACAATGACTTGGGAGACTGAATGATATTTTTCCTAAAATGTTCATTTAAATAGACAAGTCTTTCTTTTAATTTCTTTTTTGTCTGGCAGTACCATTTCTCTTAGATCACACAAAGGAAGTTACGACATTCACTCTTTCATCACTTATATATTCAGATCTTGTGTGGCAAATCTACACTAGTGTAGCCCGCCTGAAAACATGTCAGGAGAGAGGTAGAGAATAAGATTTGGCTGAAGTTTAAGTTGTTCCATGAACAAACAAATAACAAAAATGTTTTACTGTGTCTCCTATGCCCCCTGCACCTCCCACCTTTTCCTTTCTTGTTTCACTTACTCCATATCTTCCACTTCTTCATCTGTCCGCAGCACACCTATTTTTCACACCACAAAACCTCAAGCTTCCTTTAGTTTTCCCCCTGAGTTCCCACAGCATTATCCTGTCTCTGCTGCCAGTTCAGAAAGCACCATAGAGCTTGCCAGGTTCGGTTGATGAAGGTGCACCAACCCTTCAGCAAATCGAGAGCTGGGCTCTCTGTTTTTCCTTCAGTGTGTGGGAATTCAGCATCCTTCAAAACTGGATGACACTGGTGCACAGATTCAAGAGTTGCTGGAGAGGAACTAGAAGACAGACTAATGACATACAATTAATTTCCTTCTGAAACTGATAAAATAATCATCTTAAAATAAGCCATCTGTCCATCAGTCCCAATCTTTTCATACGTTTCAGAAGCACAGGTCATGCCAGTCTGGGTTTCCTCAAAGCTCTCTGTCACAGGCAAACCTTCAAAAATGCTGTTCTAAAGCACCACTCTCAAACTTCTTGAAGACTTGCACTAAATTTCAACAGTTTGGCTTATGTGTTCCCAGCACTGTCATTGCACAGGTGTGTACCAGTACAGATGTAAACATGAAGGCAAGATCTTTGTGGTATCTGCTGTCCTGAGCAGTTTGGAACAAAAAGGTCAACATTTTCCTTGAACCCTTTTTGGCAGTGCCAGCTGGGATAGGGAAATCCCAAACACAGAGCATGGACACAGTTGTCTACAAAGTTGTTCTTTCAAGATGTTTTATGACACGAGAGGGATGTTCCAAGAGGAGGAAAAGTTCACCCTCTTCTTACCTCTCCCCAGATGCCAACAGTGTCTCTGATGTCATTTTTACAGTAAGAGAGTTGTCTGATGCAATTGTTCACAGCAACACTGCTTTTTCCAGGAGCTAGATCTTCTTCTGCCATTTCTACCCAGCCCAGAGATCGCACAGCAAAGCACTGAAAAGAAACCAGAAAATATCTGTCATGCAACAGAAACCAGACAGTTAAGGTTAAAGATCCCCAGCTAGGAGGGAAACAAAATTAAGACCTTGTAGATGGGTTTATTCTCAAAGATAAGTAAATGAAAACATAATTTGTGAATTGCAAGGTGAAAACATTCAAAGAAGAATGCATGACTTGCTATGAAAAGTATCTGTGGAGGCAACAGTAATGCTTTTCAATAAAATACTTCTGTTTAATATAAAGAAGGAAAAAAGGGAGCAGAAAATAGTACGACAGAAAAATAAAGGAAAAAGCACAACTACAGATAGAGTACAATTGAAATTTTAGCTGGGATCTAGAGCTCTAATTGAAAAGAAAGAAAATACTAGTGGATTATGTCTCTTGTGAGATACCCACTCACTGTCTGGCTTTTAACCAGAAAATTACACTTTTTTGTGGATTACAGCAATCACTTCTGCAGTAAGTTTAACTAAAGTAGCAAACAATAACAAATTCAAAGCACTAAGAAAAAGATAAGCTACCATAAGAGGAATGCAGACTTTTTCTAGAAGACATTAAAAATTACCTTTAAAAAAACCCACTTTAATTATACTTTTTTTTTTAGCAGAAAGATGTTTAGCCAACCAGAGCACTCAGTTGGCAGAACAAGCCAAGGCGACATTACTTTGCACATATGGTGCTTTTCGCAAACAAAACAAAAGGGGAGAAATTGAATAGCACCATCCCTACCCTACATCTACTAGAGCAGAGAATAAAAAGCTTTAATTCTGAGAAAAAAACCCCATGCACATTTGCTCTCAGGTTTTATGGTGGGAGAAATACAGACCTTCCACTAAGTTAACAGCTGTTTGTCTATGAGACCAAGACTTGCTCCAGAGAATGTTACAGGAATCTCACTCCCAAACAGCAACACGCAGCCAGCAATAGGCACAACAGACTGACTGTTGCACCTCCCTGACGACACACCAAATGCTTAAGATGGTCCCTAAAGGTTCAGCAGTAGTAGACCAATACTCATTGTCCAGTGCTGCTGCCTTGTGCCACAGAGCCAGAAAGCAGACAACCATCCTGGATGCTGCAGGAAGGAAGGCAGCACCGGTGACTGTTGGGAGTCCTGCTGCCTCCAGCAGCACCCTGCCACACGGGCAGGCAGCTCAGGAGCAGCAACGGCAGGTCCATGCTGGAGCTACCAATTAATCCTTCTCCTTGAGATGCAATAAATAACTCAGCTTCAGAGTTCAAAAGCTGACACTGAATATTCATTTGCCACCTTCTAAAAAATGCTGTAAAGCCGGCAAGTAGATCAAGCTCACACACCATCACTAGCGTGCCATTTGGGAACAACTGTCCTCAAAAAGAAGCTACCACAAAACACCAAGGTATTTTAAATATGCATAATATGTCAAGTTTGGCAAACTAAGGGAGGAATAATATTCACCAGTGAGTAAAAAGATTAATGAGTTTCTTCCTCATTTCCTTTAAAACTTCTCTCCTCCTTCAGCCTTCTTTCATTTTGCACAACTGCACTCATCCAAGCTCACTTCACCATGAAGGAAACCCAGCTTAAGAGCCTGCTTCCCATACCTCTGGTACCTACCCCAATGAGTCACTAATGATGCATCTCATCTCGAGCATCAGACAGCAAATACGCTCTGCAATTGTGTAAAACCCTTCAGTGAGTGTGACTAAAAAATTAAAGCCTTTGATGCCTCCAGATTTTTTGTGGATTTTTTTTTTCTTTGCAAAGAAGGGAATCAACATGTAAATTCTCCCATGCTGCTCCCTGACCCAGCTCCACTGGAAACCCAGGGAAGTGCTGACTTTCAGTTCTAAATGGACATGAAGTAGAAGGTGAAAGAGTAGACAAAGCAGAGTTCACCACTCAGGGGTGCTCTTCACTTCAGGGTTACACAAGATATTAAAATATCAACTTTTCAGCAATTATTACAGTTGTCTAATCTTAAGATTGCGGAATTGTTTCTGGCACATCAGATGCTCATGAATCTTGCTGAAAGTGCTGCTATACCCACTGGGGTATTAAATATTTATCTTTGCAAGCTTTAAAAACACCAGTTTTTACTGTACCAGAAGAAAGGGTTTTTTTTGATAAGTATTTAAATATTAAATTGAATAGCAGAATACTAGCACAGAGAAACATTTTCTAAATCATGAGAGGTGAAGAACTAAATATATACAACAAGCATACTGTTTCCTCATTACTCTTCATATCTCTACCACATCTGCAATTTGTTAGCTGCTTTCTGAACACAAGGATGAATATAGAATCACAAATGCTTTGGGTTATAAAGCATTTCTAACCTGCTGTGGGCAGGAACACCTTTCACCAGACCAAGACGCTCAGAGCTCCATTCGACCTATATACTCCTTGCACTGAACAGTGTGTATCTTAAGAAGGTCAAAAATGGTGAAAGACAATCACTTCAAACTGACAACAGGTAAATCTCTGATTAGTAAAGATGGTAAACTGTTTTGGTATTTTTTTCCTGGCCTTTTTTATTTAAAAATTATTTAAAATTTATTTAAAATTCTCCAGCAGTGGCATCCACTGTATTTCTTCAGACCACTGTCATAACAGTACAGTGAGCTGAACAGGACAGTCTTATTCACCCCACGTATCCCCCTCCATGCAAAGGGCTTGGCTTCCTTCCCCACTTCCATTCCCTGTCGGTGCTTCCAAGTTAGGAAGACCTGAGAAAACCCCATCTGGCAAGTTTTTTTTTGTGTATTTCAAAAGAAGCCATTACCATAACTCAAATAAAATGCTTTAGAACAGCTTCATGAAAACAAACCAGTTTCCCAAATATTGCAAACAAAAACCTCTCAATCAACACCAGGGAGACTCAACACCCCACTGACAAGGCAACACATGTACCGGAGTATACACATAAATGAAACTTTCTTTTGCTCAAAATACACCTAAAGACCAAAACCCTTCTGTGTCCTGGTTAACTGAATACACACTCTGATGTGACTCGGCAGTGATGGCAGACCTTCATGCAGATTTCTGAACTAGAAAATATGTGGACTCAGTATTGTGATACACACCACTCAGCACCAGTACATAAACACACATCTGTGGGGTGAGAGAGAGGTGGAAGTCTGAGCACACATGCCTGTATGTCTGTCTCTCTCTGCATATTGCCAGCAGCTGGATTATAAGAATCCACTTCATGTTTTATTGCTGGTTGCTTTTTTTGCTCCCCTTCATTGCTTGACTTAGAGGTTCTCTTCTCTTTAAAATAAAAGAGCACAAAACCCAGCAGAAACAAACCACCTAGTGTCTCCAATCAGATATGACCTAATTTTCAGACCGTGGCTAGCTGAGTTAGCTGTGACAGCAGAATTGCTTAGTCCTCTAGCACACTAATACAGCATCATGCTTCCCTGGCTCCCAACGATGATACTCACAAGCCAAGAAACAAAGTACTTCCTTTGACCTGAAAGAGCTTTGCTAACACAACCTCTTTTCTTCTGGAACTAACATCTAGAGTCAAACTAAGCTGAGCTGAAAACCAGAGTGCAGCTCTTCTTGATTATGAGCTCAATAAAACAAACATTCCTTGTAATGCCAGTTCGTTATGCACCTCTACTCAAGGCTCACAAATAATTACTGGCAAGTCATAATTATTGGCCTGTCATAATTTCAAAGTAATCCCAATGCCAACTTCTGTTGACTACCTGATCTCTTTCTCTGTTAGAGAAAGTTTTCTGTGCCTAGTCAGACCACCTGCTTGCCCCCAGACTCTTTTCAAGAGCTGGTAAAAAGAAAACAGGTTTGAAGAAAACCAAACAAAGTTGATAAACACAGCAGGATAAAAGAGATTTAGGAATTGTATACTGTGTTTGGATCACTGCTGTTTGAAATTGGGAAGAGCAAAGATACTACCATGAACACTGTGTGGCTGAGAGAAGAGCATGAAAAAATGTCATTTAAACCATGGAATGTCAATAATCTTGTATTTTTATCTTGACTGGATTTTGCATTTCCTGTCTGGACATTGTGCAAAGAAAAGACCTAGGAAAAAAAGGCCACTTTATCACACACTACCCCATGAAAAGACAGATGAGAAAAAATGAAAACACAGGCATTGCTGCTCGGTTTTACAGTTCTGGGGAACCTACGTTTGCATGGTTGCAAATCCAATTAATGTTTCAAGGTAAATGATCTGTAACCAAAGAACTAAACTCATAAATGCTGTTGTCCAAACTCTGTAAAGAGCCATAAACCTCTCTATCAGTGCAGTTCCAATCCAAAGCATTGCCTAAAGCTGGGGAGCTGTAGAATTGAAGAAATGAACAAACCACAGATTACACTTCTGCTCTTTGGCATTGCAAAACCTTCACCACAGGGTAGGGTTCTGCTCTGAAGCAGCTTTTCCAAAAAGCACTCCGGTAGGAGCTTTGGCAGGGATGCAGAACCATGATGAAGTTCTGCACATTGGCAAATGCACACAGTAGCTGTTGCCCCGTGCAATGCTAAGCATGTACCATCAAAGAAAATGAAAATATTGAGAAAACCAAAGCAAATACAATCCCTTGCTAAACAGAGGACAAGAGATCAACTGCACATGACTGATGGTAGAGTACTGTTGGAAACTGGATGGATCATAAGGACATGGGTAGAAAAGATCCAATTACAGGGAGAAAATTAATAGAACATCAGTTTGAGAACAAACTAATGCACATTACAAGACCACAGACAGATTACTTTTCTTATTAAACAGCTGCTGGCAGACACTATGAACATCTGTATTAAGCGTATGTTTGCCCTGATGCTTTAATTCTGTGCTACTTATTTCTTCTTTACTTCTGAGACTACAGGACTTGATTTTGAGCGGTTTCCCTCTGTTTCATTTTATGTTTTTCCTTTTCAAAGGTTATATCTGTCTGCAGACATACGTAAATCATTACAGTACTTAATAAGGCCTTTATCACAGACCACTGAGCAGGCTTGTGCCTGGAACACAGCATGC